TGTGTCTGTGTGTATGTGTGTATATGTATATATATATATATAGATTGTTTTTTATCATTTATTTTATTTATATATATATATATATAGACTGGTACGTATGATGTACATATTCAGAATTTAGGCTGAGTCTGAGATGCGCCGGTTGTCCCTAGAGACCCTAATGCCCCCAGAGCCCCGAGGAGCTGCTTTCGGGGGCCGAGTCCAAGGAGGCTGCAGCAGCCAGGTGCCAAGGAAGAAGCCGGAGACCATGGTTTAGGGTTTACAGGGTTTGGGGCTTATGGGGTCTTTAGGGTTTTATACGGGTTATAGGGGTTATAGGGTTTAGGGATTTAGGGTTTAGGGGCTTATAGGGGTTAGGGTTTAGTTTTTTCTCTGTGGGTTCAGTTGTTGGCAACAGGGTTTCCGTAGATTCGTAGGCTTTGTGGCTTCAGGGACTGGGGACAATCTTGGGATTTGCGGGTTTTTTCGGGGCCTTAGATTGAGATAACTGTACCTGCTAATCTCTCTCCCCCAACATCACCTCTATTGACAGTCAGCTTTTGGCTTGGCCTTGGCCTTGAGGCAGCGCTGAGAAAGGCGACGGACGCCCGAGATGTGGCCGCTCTCACCTTCGCCCTCCAGCAGGCTCAGAAGCCTCAGAAGCCAACAGAGTCGCCATGATTCAAGATAATCTAGTATAATATAATATAATATAATGGAGTACAATATAATATAGTATAGTATAATATAATATAACGTACTGGAGCGGTAGGTTGGTCAGCTGCCTGGAAGGCCAAAGAAGCTGGCGTCGACCCCGAGCTCCTGGCAACCTCCGAGGCGGTGTTGGCCGTCGAGGACCCCAGGGCCCTTATTCTCAAGCCCATAAGCCCATAACCTGCTAATATACATACTTCGGAAAGGGGGGGGGGTGTTTGTCTTTGCAGGTCCCTTAGCTCAGGGACGAAGAGTCGTGTTCCTCTATGTAGGTTTTTGTGTTCCATCATAGGGGGTCCCCAATTTGAGAAGCGGACTCGAAGAGTTGGCCCTAAGCCCTAAAACCCTGCAAACCCTAAACCCCCTTTGTTGTGCCTTTGAGGCTCCCAAGCAGGAGGCTCGCGAGGCGCTCGCGGCGCAGCTGGCCAAGGCCACTCTCTCTCCTTGCGCGATCGCTTCGCGCAGCCTTCGCACCCTACTGGTATATATCTATATATATATAAAGACAAGTATATTCATTCATTGATTTATTCATTCATTCTTTTAGTTATTTATTATAGTATCTTATAGTATCTTATATATTGGTACAGGGCTCTTCTTGCAGAGCCAAGGAGGGGGTGAACCAAAGGGCGGAGATGCTTCTTTGCGAAGGTGCACGCCGCGGGGGACAAGGGCCCCTCGCTGGAAGAGCTCACTGTGCCCGGGCCCTCCGCCCTCGGACAGCGTCTGATGCAAAGACCTCCGAGTCGATGGCTTGAGGCTCGAATCGGCCATCGAAAGGGCCCGCTCTGTGGAGCTGGCGCCCCAATGACGGCGCTGCCCTGCCGTCAGAGCTAGGGAAGCTTCCAGCTTTTCCCAAGGCTCCCGGAGGCTGAGCACCGACCTTACACGGGCCGCTACTGAATGGGGAAAGGGCCCCAAACCCTCACTCTGAGGTTCGCGCAGGCTTTGGACATTTTGGCACAGGAGCAGCAGCGTGCCATGTGCAAGAAGGAGGCCGGGAGACATGTGGGAGACGTGCTGCGAACTCTGGCGAAGCTTCTGCGCATGTTAGTTTGTGGCAGGTAGCGAAAGTGGTGGAGAAGCTGAAGGACGTCGACCGGAACAGCTTCTTGCAGCCTGTTTGGTCTGGGGAGCCGCACAGAAGTACCCCCTGATCATAACAATACGTTCCTGCCTGTATTGGGGAGAAGGGGGGGGGAGGGCCCCGTTTGATGGATTTGGGGAAAGGGCTTCTAGGTGTTCTCAGAGAGAGCCTCCCCCGTGCCGGTATCTCTGCGGTCGAACTTTATGAAGGCCCCGGGGTCGGTCACTTGCCAGGCATGGAGGCCTTGGAGGAAGCCAAGGAGGACGCCGAGACGTCGTGAATGCGAGCGGAGCCTTGCTGAGTCCGAAGATGCAACCGAGCTTGCGCAGGGAAACGTGCACAGATGAACAAACGCCTCTATAAAAAAGGTACACATACACACACACACACACATATGGAGGAGCTCTTCAACGCCCTCTTGGCTGCCAAGGCCTTCCTGAGACCGGAGAGCAGAAGAGCTTTCAGGGTGACTGGCCGTTCCTTGTCAGGCCGTGGAGGTCCCGTCGGCTGCCCTGCGGGAGGCCGACAGCTTGAGGAGGAGGCCTGGAGCTTCGAAGAAGGGTTTCAGGTTTCGGCAGCTCAGTGCTTTAGAACAGCCTTCACAGCATCCAAAATACAATGAAGATTCATGGAATGTCTCAAATTTTGAAATACAGCACTAAGGGTTCATGATCCTGTTTCTCTGTATAATTTCTCTCAAAAGCCGAAACCTCAACTTTCGGTCGCCTTAGAACAGCCTTCACAGTAGAGCTTCCAAAATACGACGAAGATTCAGTGATGACAGCAAGAAGGGTTCCTTTATCCTGCTTCTATATTAAATGTCTCTTTCAAAAGCTAAAAATTTCCTCTAAACCTTTCCGGTCGAATTCAGGGCGGCCCTTTGCAGGATCCACAACGCCTTGGAGGACCTGAAGGGATCCATCCGCGTCTTCTGCCGAATCCGGCCGATCAGCAAGCCACTCCCCCGGCTCTGTTTTTTGCGGACAGACAGCGGCTTTCTTTTTTTTGCAGGAAAGCGCAAGGGGGCTGACTGTACGGGAATGTATGATGGGATGATAGGATGTTTGAAACATATCCTGGATCCGTATAATAGACAACTCTGACACAATGTACCGTGAGACTACGGGTTGTCGTTTGTGCCAGGCGTGAGAAGGAGCTCCAGGACGTGGATGCCGGGGGCCCTAATCGGATCTGTTAGAGACCTCGGGCTTTTTAAGCTGACTCCTCCCCCCTTTGAGGTGACGGAGCTCGTAGACTCGATGACAGTGAACACCCAGAAACCCTCCTGCCTCCCTCTCAGAATGCCTCGTTGAGACACCCTCCCGCAGAATGCCCTTGCGGCACTCCGTGCGCAGATGGCTCGATTGCAAACGACCCGGAGCAGTTCAACTTCGATGCGGTCTTCAAGCCCGGCACACAGGCCGGGCCTCGGCATCCGAACTTGGTATCTTTTTTTGGTTTAGAAGGTGTGTGTGTGTGTGTGTCGTCCATAAATGTCTTTGTTAAGGGATGCACGGGGCGGTGCAGCTTCGAAGTCTTTCCAGGCGGAGGTCTTCGACACGTGCAAAGACCTGGTCCAGTCGGCCTTAGATGGCTACAACGCCCCGAGCTCAGGGCGTTTCCCATTATGTTCTTTCTCGGTCCCCGTGCACTCTCTGGGGGGATTCTTCTTTCGCTTCCGAGTCGGGTCCCCTCGGGCTGAGGTGGCGATGTTCGCCTATGGCCAGACCGGCGCTGGAAAGCAGTGGCCACGGTTTACCCCGTGCCAAGAGAAGGGATCTCAGACAAGTCGTGGTTATTGAGGACCTTCACCATGTACGGCAGCATTGGCCCCAGTCCGCAAGTCTCTGGAGGGCAAGCGCAAAGCCAAAGCTGGCAGGTGGAACTGGGGACAACGCAGGCACGGCCCCACGGACCATTGCCGAGCTGCCGGTGCCTCATCAACCCCTTGGAACGGAGAAGCGGGTGCAGCTGGGAAGTGGAGAGCACCGAGGTACCGCTTGATCAAGCAAGACGAGGATCGAGTTCAATTCACGGTGCCACCCCGCAAGCCGTGACCTGATGCTTTCTTGACGCGCTTGGCTGCCCCTGACTTTCCGGCCGATCAGCTTTCGGCCCCTGGTAGCACGCGGCACATAGAGTTACATCGACTACGACAGCAGAAGCCAGTAGAATCTCAAACGAGTGGAACTCAAGCATTTCCCGACCGAGGGCTCGGTCGAAGCTTGCTTCGTGCAGACACCTGTCCCCAGCTGACACCATCCGACATTCACTGCATCTTTTTTTGGATGCAATCCACAGCTTTTACAGCTCCTTGGTTGGCATTCCCCATGCTCCGAATCTGGCGATGCCATCGCAGCTCTGCCGGAAGAAGTGGTTGCACCGAAGGCAGCTTTGAACAGGGCATTTATGCTGAAGAGCTTAGGGCGACGAGCACCAAAGGCGGCACTTGTGCGTTCTCCTGTGCCAGCTTGTCTGGGGGGTTTTGCAGTTTGAGGTCGCGGCGTGTGCCAACAGTACATGGATTCCAGCAGTCTCCTGTGCGATGCCAGGGCCGCCATGTCGAGACCATTGCGGTTGCCTTAGTTCGGCTCAGAACGCTGGGCCCCTTTGCATCGCCAACGTCTGGACCTGCAGCCTTAGGTTTGTTGCTGCCCTAGCTGTTCATGAATTGCATACGCAAGCATCTCATGCTGCAGCGCCAGCAGCAGTGTATCGTGAGGATGATCGCCAACATGATGATTCATGATGATGATGATCATCATCATCGTCATCATCATCATCCATCACCATCACCACCACTGACGACACTTGAGCTTATCGTAGGCTTCCGTCAACATAGTCCACTGGAGGAGTTCAGCAAAAGCCTTTCCACCCGGCATTGCCAGTTCTTCCTGCAGCACCGAAGCCCAACAACACGGATGGTTTTGCAGGTTCTGGTCACATGCACCTAACTACAATGCACAGCAGACAGAAACGGTCGGTTCAGGGATTCCCACAAGGTAGCTCCACTCTTGGCTTAAGGCTGCTGGGCCTGATTGGCCTTGGAGCCGCACCTCAAAGCTTCCTGCGCCCTTACCTCAGAGAGTCACAGGCGAGAGAGAGCGAGAGAGTGAGAGGCCACCCCATGGGGGCGGGGCAACTAAGAGACTTCGGGGACCAAGTGCTGACACCCACGCTGGTCTCACCTCAGCCGACAGACAACGGACCACGGCGTAGCGCGAGAGCGCAGGGGTGAGGTCCCGCCCCAAACGTCGCGCAAGCAAGCAAGAGGCCACCCCTTCGCCGAGAGAGAGCGGAAACTAGCAAGGGATGGAACAAAGGGGGGAGAGCGATATTTTTGGGCCCCGGCTTAGTATGATGTACTTCTTCAACGGCGTGGTGTTCTTCTACTTTCAAGTTCGCTCTCCTTTTGTCGGGGCAGTCGGCCTAAACGTCCTTTGTTGCCATTCGGTCCACTCCAAAATGGGGTGCGCACTTGCGCACGGGGTGGAGCAATCACCCCTCAGACCCGCAGAAACAAAGAAACCCTAGGGCTTCTGGCCTTACTTTTCCTGAGGATTTTCAAGTTGCTTTGAGGCCTCAAGGCTGATGAGATTCACGGCGAATAGAGTTGAATAGAATCTTCCTTCGCAGTTTTTGCTTGCTGGCCGGCGTCCCGTTCTGGAAGAAAAACCCATGGCCGAAGCAAAAGATGAGCACGAGGAGAGACTGCTGAGAGATGCATGGCCGAATTCCCGAAAGACTCTGAGACCCAAGCCTCAGAAGCCTCCATCAATTTTGATGACATTCCCTCGATCCTTCTTCGAGGGACCCAGGGCTGGGGGAGAGCTGAGGCCTTCTGCGACCGGGCCTCGATCTCGACCGGACCTCGAAGGTGCGACGCCATGCGTCGGCAGCTCCCTTTGCTGGCTGCCGATGCATTGAGGCGGAGCTCTCAGCTCTGTGAAGCAGATTGCAGGTTCGAAGGTCGCTTCGAGGAGTTGCAGTAGGGCAGTAGCAGAGTGTTCGGCTGGATTCTGAAGACGAGGTTTCCTGCTGGATCTTGAAGTCTAGCACTGCGAGGTTACGGCTGCCGATGGCTCGGAGTGGCAGATTCTGGCAGGGAAGACTGCCGAAGACAACGACCGCCTTTCCCTCAAGGAGATAAGTGCCTTCTTAAGTCGTCCTCACAACTCCCGTTGCCACGATGTTCTGCACTTCTTGAAAGGAGGGCCGTTCTGACGAGCCGCTCCCTTGCAAGTAGCGGAAGTGCCCATCTTGATCCTATATATATATATGTATATATATATATATGTATGTATATTCATATATATATATATGGAGGGATGGAGGGATGGATAGCGACCGGGGTGTGCAGCCATGGGCATCATCCCTCCCGCCTTCGCAGCCCCTCCCAAGTTGTCATCGGGCTCCAGTTGGAGTTCAGGCTCCCAGCGCCCCAGAGTAAGGCATCCAGCAAAACCGTTCAAGCACACCCATCCTCGTCATGACCCGCATCCCCTCTCCGAAGAGATATGGTCTGCTCAGGGCCAGGGCAGGGCTATGTTCAGCAAGACAGTCGTGGTTCCTCGTAAGGTTGCACTATCCCAGTCATACACCGGCCGCTATATACATATATGAATACGAAACATACAGATAAATACATATACATATATATATATATACAGATATACACATACAAATTCGGAGACACAGGGGAGCTGAGATGTGCTGCAACCCTTGCCCAGACCTTGGATGCACGCAGCGGACGTGCCCGGGTCTCACGTCGTCGTGCGGCAGCCAGGAGCCAGCTTCACGGGTTCAGCCAGCGAGCCCACAGCCGGAGTATAAACCTACTCGTACGGCGGCTTCGTCGCTCAACACAGACAAGGAACCGTCGTCTCCAGCAGAGCAGCAACATAGCAGCGGTGTGTGGACATGGACAAAATCGATTCGGCTGTGCTTGAATCGATCATGACATGATGAGATGCAATGACGAGTGCAATGCTGGCAGCGTATGACAAATGCAGTTCGGATGGACACAGCCCGTAGATAGCTTCAACGGCAAACAACACTCAAAGCTGACGGGACACGGGACAAGGTAGAAGCTGGCTTCGGACGGACACAGAGAGATCAAAAGCAAGGTCTTCAGACCTGGTGATAATGTCGAGGTTGAGGTGAGCTTTTTCGAAGTGTTGAGTATTGCATGAATACGGGCCGAAGCTTTGGGCAGGAGCTGACAAGCTGCCAGCGCCGAGCGAGGTTGTGCGAACCGCCGCAGGCCCGGGGAAGGTTTCGGCTATTTTTGGTGGAGATCTCTTTGTAAGGAAAGGCTTGTGAGTTTGTGTCGCTCTCCGAGGCATCGCCGCCTTCTACTCGAAGGCGGCCGGGCGCAGCGACTTTTGCAGAGTGGGGCAGGGCCTTCAGATTCCTCGCTTTTTTTCCAGGCCAAAGGGAGGCGCGTGAAGGTGCACCTGACGCGCTGCGGGCAAGTCAGCAAGGCCAAAGGATCGCCGGCTGGCAAGGCCGGAGGTGTTGCCTTGGGGAAAAGCCAGAGATGTTCTCTCTCAGCCCTCTCCTCTCTCTCGGCCGGGGAGGTGCTGCTGTCGGGCAGCGTGGAGACCCTGCAAGTGCCGCTCGGCTCTGCCCCGGAACGGAGAGCGCGTGGCCTCTGCTGCTGGGCGCGCGTGGCCTCCGAGGTCGCCCTTGGATCCGGCGCGTTTGCGGAAGCCGCAGAAGCCGGAGAAGCGGAAGAGCAGCCAAGCCAAGAGAGCGCTCCTGGATCCGGAGAAGGAGGCAGAAAAGCCACACAGAGAAGGTTTTAGACTCTAAGAGGGAGTGTATGGCTGCTGTCTAGGATCATCTCACGGTTCCTGGCGTTGTTGCATGCAGACATTCGTCGTGTTGTGCCTCTTTGTCTTTGCCGTCGTTGCTGTTGTTGCGCACGCATGCGTTTTTCCCCTGTCTCGCTGCCTCGGTCGATGGCTATGTAGTCTCTCTGTGGTGCTCGTTTTTACACTGACTTTATTACAATTGAGATTTGGAGAATGTTTCCGGCAACTTACAAGTTTCTACAGCATGGATCACGAGCGCAGGTATGTGGTGAACAGTACGTTGTACCAAGAACAGAACCACAGGAAACAGGATGCAGCTAGCTGTTGATCTTCATAATTTCCTAGCCTCCTTCCTTCTATGCCTTTGACCGTAGAGGGAGGCTCTCCCGAGCAGACAGGAAGCCGTCATTTTATGAAATCGAACCCCCGAAGAACGCGAAGCCGTCATGCCATGAAAGTAGTCTCCTGAGAAGAAACGACGACGTCACACAATGAAATCGAACAGCCGACAAACGAAGCTGTCATGCAATGACATCGTCACCCGAGAAAACAAGCCATCATACAATGATGTCGTCAGCCGAGAAGAACAAGCCGCATCCGACGAAATCGTCACCCGACAGGACCAGAAGCCGTCATACAATGAAATCGCACCCCAGGAAGATAAGAAGCCGTCACACAGTGAAATCGAACCGCTGAAAGGAAACCTAGCAGTCATAGCAGTCATACAATGACATTGCCCCGCGGGCAGACAAGAAGCCGTCATACTATGAAATTGTGACCCGAGAAGACAAGGATTCGTCAGACAATGAAGCTGTCTTTCCAGAAGACAGGAAGCTGTCATGCAATGACACCCCTGCGAAGAACAAGCCGTCATACACAACGAAATCGCCACCCGAGAGGACAAGGAAGCCCTCATGTGCATTGAAATCGAATCGCCGAGAGAAAAACACGCCGTCATACAATGAACTCATCCCCCCAGAAGACAATAAAGTGTCACGCGCTGATGTCTTTCCCAGGAACGCAAGAAGCAGTCCTACAATGACATCGTCACCCGAGAAGACAACAAGCCGTCACACAGTAATTTGATGCATCGTACGCTAATGTATTTTTAAGTCTACCAGTAGCTTAATCTTTGTCCTGCATGTCTTATCTGTATGGCTCTGGATAGTTCGCGTTAAGTACCGGCTGAATTGCAAGATGTGTTTCTGTTTTTTAAATGTGTTTCCCCGTGCTTACTTGATGAGACGTTATTCCTAAAGACTGTTTCTTGTATCCCTGCTTTGCATTTGTCTCAGCAGCCGATGCTTTGTTAAGCAGTTGTTTTCAATTTCTTCATGCCTCTTTCGGCAAAACAAGGATGTCTAGAGGTTCAGTGAAATGCTATATCCTCTTTATCCAGGTGCTGTAATGATTCTTGCATACCGGTCTTAGCGTCATTGTTGTTATTCATATTCGTAGTTTTACTTTTCAGTTCGTGTATGTATTGTCTCGTGGCGCCAGGCAGCGCGACTGGAGAGCCTCCGAGACTTGCTTGCAGTCTGGGTACACCAAGAAGAAGGTTCAGGGATGGGAACAGCTGGGATCGTGTCTCTTGATATGTAAAAGAAAAGGGCCTGCGAGAGCCCTGCGTCGCCACTGCCGTGGGCTTGGGAAGCATCCAGGAGCCTTTCGGAGGAAGATGAACCTGGAACGTCGGATCGACGTCCTGGACGAGAGGAGCCTCCTTCTCTACTCAGTAGATGTAAGTCGCAGCTCTTCACAAGCATGGCTCCTAAAGCAATCGGAAGGGTAAGGAAATTGTCACGGCGAATTCTGTTCGTTCTTGTTGCACACTCGGAAGGATAACGAAAGTGTCACTGCGAATTCTGCTGGTTCTTGTTGCACACTCCAAGCAATCGGAAGGGTAAGGAGATTGTCACGGCGAATTCTGTTTGTTCTTGTTGCACACTCCAAGCAGTCGGAAGGGTAGGGAAATTGTCACAGCGAATTCAGTTTGCTCTTGTTGCACACTCCACGCAATCGGAAGGGTAAGGAATTGTCACAGCGAATTCTGTTTGTTCTTGTTGCACACTCCAAGCAATCGGAAGGATAAGGAAACTGTCACGGCGAATTCTGCTTGTTCTTGTTGCAGACTCCAGGCAGTCGGAAGGGTAAGGAAATTGTCACAGCGAATTCTTTCTGTTCTTGTTGCACATTCCCGCCAATCGGAAAGGTAAGGAAACTGTCACGGCGCATTCTGTTCGTTCTTGTTGTACACTCCAAGCAATCGGAAGGGTAAGGAAATTGTCACGGCGAATTCTGTTTGTTCTTGTTGCACACTCCAAGCAATCGGAGGGGTAAGGAAATTGTCACGGCGAACTTTGTTCGTTCTAGTTGCACACTCCAAGCAATCGGAAGAGTACGACAATTGTCACTGCGAATTCTGTTTGTTCTTGCTGCACACTCCAAGCGATCGGAAGGGTAAGGAAATTGTCACGGCGAATTCTTCTGTTCTTGTTGCACACTCCAAGCAATCGGAAGGATAAGGAAACTGTCACGGCGAATTCTGTCTGTTCTTGTTGCAGACTTCAAGCAACCGGAAGGGTATGGAGACTGTCACAGCGAGCTCTGTCTGTTCTTGTTGAACACTCCAAGCAATCGGAAGGGAAAGGAAACTGTCACGGCGAATTCTGTTTGTTCTTGCTCCAAGCAATCGAAAGGGTAAGGAAATTGTCACGGCGAACTCTGTTTGTTCTTGTTGCACACTCGCAGCAATCGGAAGGGTAAGGAAATTGTCACGGCGAATTCTGTCTTTTCTCGTTGCACACTCCACGCAATCAGAAGGGTAAGGAAACTGTCACGGCGAATTCTTTCTGTTCTTGTTGAATTTGTCACGGCGAATTCTGTCTGGTCCTGTTGCACATTCCCGCCAATCGGGAGTGTAAGGAAACTGTCACGGCGAACTCTGTCTGTTCTTTTTGCACACCCCAAGCAATCGGAAGGGTAAGAAAATTGTCACGGCGAATTCTTTTTGTTCTTGTTGCACACTCCAAGCAATCGGAAGGGTAAGGAAATTGTCACGGTGAATTCTGTCTGTTCTTGTTGCACACTCCAAGCTGTCGGAAAGGTAAGGAAATTGTCACTGCGAATTTTGTTTGTTCTTGTAGCACACTTCAAGCAATCGGAAGGGTAAGGAAATTGTCCCGGCGAAGTCTGTTTGTTCTTGTTGCACACTCCACGCAATCCGAAGGGTAGGAAACTGTCACGGCGAATTCTGTTTGTTGCACACTCCAGACAGTCGGAAGGGTAAGGAAACTGTCACGGCGACTTCTGTTTGTTCATGTTGCACACTCCAAGCAATCGGAAGGGTAAGGAAATTGTCACGGCGAATTCTGTTTGTTCTTGTTGCACACTCCAAGCAATCGGACGGATAAGGAAATTGTCACGGCGAATACTGTCTGCTCTTGTTGCTCACTCCAAGCAATCGGAAGGGTAAGGAAATTGTCACGGCGAATTCTTCTGTTCTTGTTGCACACTCCAAGCAATCGGAAGGATAAGGAAACTGTCACTGCGAATTCTGTCTGTTCTTGTTGCAGACTTCCAGCAACCGGAAGGGTATGGAGACTGTCACGGCGAGCTCTGTCTGTTCTTGTTGAACACTCCAAGCAATCGGAAGGGAAAGGAAACTGTCACGGCGAATTCTGTTGGTTCTTTTGCACAGTCCAAGCAATCGGAAAGGTACGGAAACTGTCACGGCGAATTCTGTTTGTTCTTGTTGCACACTCCAAGCAATCGGAAAGGTAAGGTAACTGTCACGGCGAATTCTGTCTGTTCTTGCTGCACACTCCAAGCAATCAGAAGGGTAAGGAAACTGTCACGGCGAATTCTTTCTGTTCTTGTTGAATTTGTCACGGCGAATTCTGTCTGTTCTTGTTGCACATTCCCGCCAATCGGGAGTGTAAGGAAACTGTCACGGCGAATTCTATCTGTTCTTGTTGCACACTCCAAGCAATCGGAAGGGTAAGGAAATTGTCACGGCGAATTCTGTTTGTTCTTGTTGCACACTCCAAGCAATCGGAAGGGTAAGGAAATTGTCACGGTGAATTCTGTCTGTTCTTGTTGCACACTCCAAAAAATCGGAAGGGTAAGGAAACTGTCACGGCGAATTCTGTCTGTTCTTGTTGCACATTCCAAGCAAATCGGAAGGGTAAGGAAATTGTCCCGGCGAATTCTGTCTGTTCTTGTTGCAGACTCCAAGCAATCGGGAGGGTAAGGAATCTGTCACGGCGAATTCTGTTTGTTCTTGTTGCACACTCCAAGCAATCGGAAGGGTAAGGAAACTGTCACGGCGAATTCTGTCTGTTCTTGTTGCACATTCCAAGCAATCGGAAAGGTAAGGTAACTGTCGCGGCGAATTCTGTCTGTTCTTGTTGCACACTCCAAGCAATCAGAAGGGTAAGAAAAATGTCACGGCGAATTCTTTCTGTTCTTCTTGCACACTCCAAGCAATCGGGAGGGTAAGGAAACTGTCACGGCGAATTCTGTTTGTTCTTGTTGCACGCTGCAAGCAATCGGAAGGGTATGGAAACTGTCACGGCGAATTCTGTCTGTTCTTGTTGCACACTCCAAGCAATCAGAAGGGTAAGGAAACTGTCACGGCGAATTCTGTCTGTTCTTCTTGCACACTCCAAGCAATCGGAAGGGTAAGGAAACTGTCACGGTGAATTCTGTCTGTGCTTGTTTCACACTCCAAGCAATCAGAAGGGTACAAGAACTGTCACGGCGAATTCTGTAAGCCCCTAAACCCTTTGTTGCCGTTGTTCTGGCTTCGAAATGAAGCCTTAATGCAAAGAAGTTCGATTTGTTGCCGTCGTTTTGGCTTCGCTGAGATCTCCGATCGCATGTTCCAGTGCAAAGAAGGACTATTTGCTGCCCTTGTTTTGGTTTCGAAGTGATGCTCCACTGCAAAGAAACACGACTTCTTGCCGTTATTGTTGTTGTTTTGACTTCGACTTCATGCCCCAGCGCTAAGAGCTACGATATGCTACCGGGCTGTGGCCTCCGTTGTTCTTGCTTCGAAGTGATGCCCCAGTGCCAAGCAGTGCCATTTGTTGCCGTTGTCTTGGCCTGGAAGTGATGCAGATACGCTTTGTTGCCGTTGTTTTGGGCTCGAAGTGATTCCCGAGTGCTAAGAAGTACGTTTTGTTGCCGTGGTGTTGGGCTTGAAGTGATGCCCCAATGCCAGGAAGTACGACTTCTTGAAGTGTTGCCCCAGGGCTAACGTATACCACTTGTTGCCATTGTTTTGTATTCGAAGTTTCGAAGTGATGCCCCAGATCTAAACCGCACGATTTGTTGCCGTTGCTGCTACGAAGTGATGCCCAGTGTTAGACGAACGATTTGTTGCCGTTGCTTTGGCCTCGAAATGACGGACGCTTCAGGTCTAAGAAGTGCGATTTGATGCCGTTGTGTTGGCCTCGAAGTGCTGCCCCAGCGCTGAGAAATGTAAATATTTGATTTATTGTTTCGAAGTGATGCCCCAGTGCTAGGAAGTGTGACTTGTTGCCGTTATTTTGGCTTCGAAGTGATGCCCCAGTGCTAAGAAGTAGGACTATTTGCCGTGGTTTTGGCTTCGAAGTGATGCCTCAATGCTAAGAAGCAAGATCTGTTGCCGTCATTGTGGCTTCGAAGTGAATTTCCCAGTGTTAAGATTTGCGACTTGCTGCCGTTGTGTTGGCCTCGAAGTGGCGCCGCGCTGTGATAAGAAGTACGATGTGTTGCCGTTGTATTGGTTTCGACTCTCATCCTGAAGCCTAGCTAAGCCAGGATCCGCGCCGTGGATGAGGAGATGGCCCTTGCTGGCAGCGATGCCGAGCTGGCAGCCGAGCTACTGGAGAAGCGGCAGGACTCCCTTAGCCCGCAACTTCATAAAGCTGATCGGAGCATCACGGCCTGTTAGCAGACGCATCCTCGGACCAGCCTTGCAAGATCTTGTCGGAGGCTTTGGAGACTGAGCAGAACATGCTCTTCCAGGATTGGGAGGAGCCTTGAACAGCTTTGCCGGAGATTGCTCCAGCTTCCTTTGCTAAGTCCCATACCCCCTGGACCCTTGAATAAGGCCAGAAGCCCTTCAACTCAGACTCCCCAGACCCTAAACCCTGAGCCCCCATAGACCCTAGACCGCCGTTAGAGCCGGCCTTCTTGTCGCAGGAGCTCGAAGATGCCTCGGCAGGAGCAAGACAGAGAAAAAGACCTTGCCATCATTTGGGGCTTTAGGCTTTAGGGTCATCGAGCTGATAACCTTGGCATGGGGGTTCTCAGTCGGGTGTATGGTGGTTCTATTGTTGTCTACAGCAAGACAAGAAGAAGGCCCACATCTTCGTCCGAGCCAGTCGCGCAGGTCATGGCCAGCATGATGGAGCTTTATCGCAACGAGTGCTCCGGCTTGAAGGGCGAGCCCAAGTTATGGAGAGCCACCACAAAGACTGACCAGATGTTTTTGATAGAGCTTACGTGCAAAAGAACAGGCATACCATTCCCCGTGATATTCGTTTCTCTGTGCATACATCTTTCCATGTTCTTGCTTCGTCTGTTGCATGCAGAAAGTCTTGTTCCCAGGCTGGTCGATCTTCTGGTTCCCAAGAGCACCGGCACTTCCCCGTGCCTTGGCTTCCTGGTGGCCGAGAGTTGTTTAGGGCTTCGGCTTTAGTCGTAGGGATCTGTTGACAGTACTTCGTAGTGCCGGTGTCTGCAGGAAGCGGAGGAGTCAAAATCCTGGTGCTGGGTCCTCAGCGCACTTGAGATGCACGCGAACAGGGTGACAACATGTAGATGCAAAGAAAAATAGGACAGCCAGTTATAGTGTATGTCTGTGTGTATATATGTATATTCGTATATGACCGTATCTGTATATGTATATACATGTCTCTTAATCTTCGGTGTGGTGGGTAGGAATTCAGAGTTCAGTTTACAGATCGTAAGAACAGCCGTGATCATGTTGTCTCGTGGCCATAGAACGAATGCGGCTGGGCAAATTGCCCGGGGGGCCTGACCCGCCCCCTATGCCTGGGAGAAGAAGAGAGAGAGTGTGTTGTCGTATACCTTTACGGCTCCTTTTTCTCGGGCCTTCGGTTGTTGTTTCATGTCTCCCCCATAAGGCCCAAACAGCAAGGGCTGAGCGAGTCGGCTCTGGGGACTTCACCCGTCCCCTACGGCCCGGAGAACATGGAACAGAACAGCGAGAGAATTGCTTACCCAGGTCCAACGTGGCCAAACACAGTCTCATAGTTATAGTGACGTGCGTGTCCCTTTGCACCCTTGCGGCATCACCCAGATGGCAGACAGAGACAAAACCTGCAGGGCGGGTGCTTGCCACAAATTTACACACACACACACACGCACGCGCGCACACATACAATCACCTTTTAAAAAAAAGAGAAAGGCATATAGCTCTATATCTATCTATCTATCTACCTATATATTCTCATACATTTGTGGAGATGTATGTATGCTTCTTTTTTTGATTCTTCCCCCCCCCGCCTTTCGGACTCTTTTTCTTTGGTCTTGGCTCAGTCGGCAGCTTTGGAGCAGAAGCTCAACGTCCGCGTGGACAAGGCCAGAATTAGATTAGCTTAGGTTTTAGAGGGTTTACGGAATTAGATTAGGGGTTTTTGGGTTTTACAGGGTTTATAGGGTCCATCGGGCTTATAGGGTTTATAGGGTGTAGGGTAACCCCCCCCCCGATTAGGTTATGTTACATTCTTTTATGCTAAATTTGAGGGTTTAGGGGTTAGGCTTAGGGAAAGTAGGTTATAGTAAGGAACCCCCCCCAGAATAGTAGTGGTACGTACTTCTTTGGCCCTATATTGGGTTTGGAGGGTTATGTTACACTCTTTTGTATGCCAAAGGCTACCGTTTTGTTCAACTGTTGCATATATTCAACAGTTACATACTAGAGTAGAGTTTGATAGTATTGTATATTCTACTGCGCAGTGATACATCACACGATGTTATGATAGCGCACCACACAGTTATATACTAACTATCTTATGCTGTGAAAACCTCCACAGGGTTTGAAGCTTGAGTTGGCGGATTTCGGAAAGTGAGGGATTTGAGTCATCGGATTCAGGGGGGTCTGGGGTTTCCTGAATGCCGGAGCCCTGCCTGCAACCCCTTCCGCAGTCCGGCGCGGTGCAAATTGAGCACCTGCGGGAGGAGGAGTGCAAGACGGCGGAGGCCCCTGGTGTCACAGCCAACAGCCAACAATGGTTGTTGTTCATAGCCAGCTGGCACGGGTTCATGGCGACAGACAGGGAGGAGAGCCAGTCAAAAAGCCACCGAAAGCAAGAATCTTCCGGAGGCTTTGTCCGATCTCCTAGAGCCGGCTGCCTATCTCCGGGATTTTTTTGAAGCACTGTTTCAGACCATGGGCTTCTGTGAGGCAGTGAGTTGCCGGAATCGGGATCATCGGATGCCAAGGCGAGGAAATCAGATGAGGACCGTCTGCCTGGTGCCCAAGCACCTTTCCTGGCAGCATGAACTCTTCACTCCTAGCTGAAGCCCGCCATTCTGAAACCTGAAACCACTCTGAAAGGCAACTCGGTCAGCCTTTGCAGCCACGGTTCCCTCAGTTCCCTCATCCAGGCGCCACCAAGATGAACAGCGAGAGCCCGGATCCTACCGTGGCATCAGAAACGTCACTTTGAGCTACTCGTAGGTGCAGTTCGTGATCCCTCCATCACGGGGTCCATGATCTGACAGTCTCCGATAGGCGTTGCTCGCCCTCCATGCGCTTGTCACACTGCTTTGTGCTATCATGTCATACCTGATGTCTTATGTATATTGCATAGTATACAGGGTGTGAACTCATGTGCGCACCTGCACACACCTGCGCGCGCACGCACACACACACAC